GGATGTATGCATATCATTATTTGATGGTAATTTAAGTCTATTTAAAAAATAATCAGATATCCAATGAGCTGTTACTTCCATCATCATCCAGGGAGCATATGTTATTGTAAAACCAATAAATGCAATATTTGATACACCAATTGGTATAATGTTACGATAGAGATTTATTCGTTTTGATTTGGTATTTGGTAATCCCATGCGTTGTTTATCTTTTTCGGTAAAAAATGAAAATGTTTCAATAAAACCAGTGGCACAAATAATCATATCTGCTTCAATATATTCTCCTGTATCCAGACAAATTGTTTTATTATCAATTATTTGTTTAATACATCCAAGTTTACCAATTATTTTTCCTTGATTTTTTAATTTACAAAAGTTATCCGGTATCATTCCACCAGTGTGTTGATTTATGATTGAACCTTTGGGAATGTATATTTTATCACTTTCTGAATTAAATCCATTTGTTTGAATTACATCATCCTTCATATTCGAATAAATTTTCTCAAATAGTTTAGAGAAATGTTTATGAATAAATAAAATTAAATGATTTGATACAAATGGAAATGGTGGAAAAATGAAGGTAGTTATTTTTCGAAAAATATTTTTTCCATGTAATTTTCCTCCAAACAAACGACATGGCGTAAGCCAATGGATACGACGAAATATCATATAACATTGTTTACCATATGTGGCTGCTGATGTAGCAATATCAGCAGCTGATTTTGAACCACCCACAACGACAATAGTCTTATTTTCTAATTGATCATTAGATTTAACATCGCAAACATGAAGTATTTCACCAGTAAATTTCTCTTGTCCATCAAAATAAGGCATACAGGGATGTGATAATAGACCGCTGGCGATAACGATAAAATCAAATGAAAATATCTTGATTTCATTATTGTTAATATTTTCTACAATGACTGTCCATTGTTCATCATTATCTCCTTTATATATCGATTTTACATTAGTATTAAGATGAATGTGTTTTGTTAAATCAAATTTATTACAATATTGTTTTAAATAATCATGTGTACGTTGCCAATGACAATATTCTTAAAAGTAGAGAGAATGGAAAATATATTTAGTTTCGTTACAATTGTTTATAAGTACAGAAACAGAACCAAGAATTCTTAATGAAAAATTTTCATGATTCAATGTAAAATTGACCAAATAGAACCAAGACTAGACGAGAATTTCCTACGAGCCCTGATAGCATATATATTATCTTTATAAAATTCTAACTCTCGCAGGAAAAAGTCACTTTTTGTCTGTAAGCGACTTTTATATTCTGTTTGTTTCGATTATATACATGTTTCTACTGCAGGAACGGTTAAAATATTTTCGCATGATCCACATACGACTAAATATTTTCACTAAAACCGGATCTTTTATTGACTAAACAGTTCATAATCTGAGGTTGAGTTTCTCATTAATAAATATGTGATTCAGAGACTAATATTTGAGTATTTACATTAATATTGCGCCGTTGTACTTCGACACTCAAAATTGCAATATGTCGACATTTCGCGATGAAGTTTTCGGTAACAGGATCCCGAATCTTCCGCGAGTTACTGAGAATAAAACTTAATAAAACTTTCAAGTTCTCATGATATTTGAAATACTAACAAAGCAAAAAAAAACGGAAATATCAGCAAACCAATTTTCCTTCACTTTGAATTGTTGTAACTAGTTTCATACTATATCATCCGACTAACTTTAGTATGAAACTATTTTTCGAACTCACTCTCACACTGCTCAGACCCCCTTCGACCGTCCTACCGACATAAGAAATAACTCTTCCCGTTTGGGGAAGAGTTGTGTCATGGAAATTTCAATAACTCGACTTCTATGCTATTATACCTTAAGCATGTTTATTATTTACTCATAAGTATAGCGTTTCATATAACAGTCGTATGCACGATCTGATCTGATCCTATGGGATCTTATGTACGAAATAGTAAGATTCCATAAGACCGTGTCTGATTTTGTACGAGCTTATGTACGAATGACGCATGATTCTGACTAGAGCTGGGCAAATCAAGTAAAAAATGTCTCTCAAGTTCAATTCAATTCAAGTCAGACTTAACTTGGTCCAAAATTTTCTGGGATTATGACTTGATTTGACTTGACTTGAGCAATTTTTTTCAAGTAAGAGATTTTCGTTTAAATTAGACTTTTCTATCATGAAAGAGAGTTTCTGAGGCTAGTTTTCCTTGTGCATTTTTGCCGCATATCAGTCTTCTCACTTCGATTCTTTTCCATGAGTCTTTTACACTTCTCAGCCAGACTAATGTAAAACTTGACCATTTTTAAGTATTATAAGATTTTTACACTAAACAGGAATGATTTTTCTTGTAATTTGGTGTAAATAATTATAGAAGTATGCTTATATTTCAATTATAAAATAAATTTTTGAAAACATTTAAACTATAAAAATTTTTGTATAAATTTTTAAAAAAAAATTTCAAACTCTACTGTATTAAACAAAATATCATAAAAAGGCTTACCCAGGTCGTTGATTCCGGTGTCAGAATCCTGACGAAACCTGCCGGATCCAACACTGGAGCATGTCGGAATTCGGTAAAATCCGGCAGCAACCATATCGGATTATGCTGAAAATTCGTTGCTCGGAATCTGTGTCGGAAGATGTCGAAAAAGATCCGACTGGATCCGAAATATTCCGGCATCTTCCGGCCGGTGAATCAGATTTTGCTGGATTTTGCAGAATGTGACTAATCTAAAGGTTAAAACTAGTCTTCAATTTTTTCTTTCACTTTTTAGTGGTTCTTCTCTCGGTTCGTTCCAGAGAGTGGAGGGGCCCACTAGGTAGACCGTGTACAACACATCCGTTGAACAGTGTCAGCAATGACTCATACTGTTAAGAATTTGAGGAGAACAACTTTTCATTTTACATTTTCTGTAGTGTCGTATTTAAAGTGCTCCTGTCTTGAAACAAAACGATGAATATATCATGCGCACAGGAAAGAAAGAAAAAAATAAAGTGCACATCACAGGATCCGTCGATTTCCGATCACCGGAAATTAACGGATCTGACTGGTTCCTGATATCGGGTCCGATCTCTGGATCCGCTAGAAACCAAATATCGGAACGCGAAGGAATGAAGCAGATTTCGATTTCCGAAAATCACCGAAATTAAAAGGATCCGCCAGGATCTGATCGGGTGAATTCGACCTGGGTATTCCATTGCCAAAATTATGAAGTAAAATTCAAAACAGCTGCAACGTGCTATAGCGGATCTTCTCAGCTTTTCCCTTTTCATTGCAATCGTCTTTCTACGAAGAGTCCCATTTATCGATTTCGGTTACATAACTGAAATCGATAAATAGGACTCTTATTAAAGATTATCTTTTATACATGCTGAATCAAGAAGATTACTTTCACAGCTTATTTTGTACAGAAGTATTCGCTCTACAAAACCTAGTTATAAGAAACATTTAATATGCCATACTGTTCGTACAATGTAGTTTTTGCAAATTTCATAAAAATTTTAGCTCTTAATAATAATTCCTTTCTGAAAAACTGCGTTTTTACTGCAAAAATGTCCGGTTACATTTTCTTGATTAAAAAGGTCCAGTGGTGTAAATGTGTACATAAGTCCATGAAAACAAGACAAATCAGTTCGATTTTTTACAATCGTAAACGACAATTTACAATCAACGGAATTTCACGAAGAATGTAGATGTTTTATTTTTGAAATTTCTCAGCATCCGTACATTTGGGGAGTCTAACCTAGTGAGCACTGGAAAGCGTAACGTTTTCCCAACTGATATATTTAATTTCAACTTTATTCACTTTGCGTTTGGGCGATCAAATGATATGAAAGATTGGACTGTATCATTACTGATTTTCTCTTAGTGATTCCAAAAACATTTAACCAAGGAATAGCGAGCCTCAAGACACTTCTTGGTGATTTTGCTGTCGATTCAATATACTATTCTAGACGCTCTTTCTAATGATATCATTGGTTTTGATCAGTTTTACACTTCAATCTCCTACTTGAGCGGTGACAGTTAGTTGGCCAAGTCGTATTATAAAAGAAAACATGATCGTTATTCGGAGAAGTAAATAGCAGGAAGGAAAAAGAGCGAACAGATTTTAATCTGGGGTTGAAAGGGAGTTAAAGTTGTACTTAGCCGGAGTTGCTCGGCTCTGCTCTGATTGCAGTACATTTTATAATTTTTAAATTATTTTAAATAATTCCATAGATTAAGTAGTATCCACTTATGCTTCAGAAACCATTTTCTTCAGTTTTATATACCGGATATGTGGCAAAATCTATTTAACAATCTTAATAAACAATAAAATTCTTCTTAAAATATAAATAGATCTACAGCTTTGATATGAACATTCAGTCAAAACAAAAAATTTAAATTGGATATAATCTGATACGATTGTAGCACAACATGTAACAATTGTTGGACAATCATAGTGTTTAAAGTTTTCGATTATGTAAGACGAGTGTTCTATTCTGCTACATACTATAAAAGTAAGGTGAGTACGTCAGTCGTTTCCCTCAGTATTATCTCTTCAATTTACGTAATATACATCAGGTTAATAGAAAATATCCTGTTCAAGTTTGTTTTAGTAAATGTTATTACATCTAAAACGTTGATCTGCTCGATCATGTTATAAGGGGTTAACGTTGTTTTTCTTTTACAGTAACATGCAATCGTTAATCTAAATATAAACAACTTACCTTGTCCATCATGTAAATCAGAAAATTCTAATGTACCACCCGACGATTGGTCATGCAAATCATAATATGCATATTGTTTAGACCAGATTCCACCAATATCATTTTGCCTGTCAAACAAAGTCACAATAAAATTATCATCTAATAATACTTTAGCAGCTACTAATCCTGCAGCTCCAGCACCAATAATTACAACCGAAGGCATTTACTTCGTTGTTATTTTTACTTAAATCTTGAAATAAAATATTCTAATCGACGTAAAATCAAATAACAACATTGTTGTAAGAGAGAAAACAAGTTTTCTTGACAAGAATTTATAAAAAAATCTCAATTTATAGGCATTTTAAATTCCAGGTAAGTATGAAACTAGATTAAGAATCAACTTCACGATTAAGCCAGTTTCAACATTTCAAGAACTATGAAAGTTTTCTGAAACTTTCAGTATTACAGTTCTATATATTTTAGGATTCTGAAACATTCTAACAAAACTTCATTAATTACAAACGCTCTGAAATATGATTAATTAAGTAGAATTCAAATTTAATGCGCAATTTGTTGCTCACCCTTCAATGACGAAGTTATTCGTTTTCTCCGTAAACCTTTTTAGACTGCACTCTGGGGCTCGAAATCAAAAATTTTAAAGTTTCAATTATGTGTCTAACAAGTTTCAGTCAATTTTCAAAGTCACCGCCTGAGTAGATGCTGCAACTTCACTATTTGGTAGCAAATCGAGTTAATCCATGGAAAAATGTTTCACAACATAAAAGTTGCATGACTTAGCCACAAGGATCAGGTACCAAACATCTCGGCAAGCCTTTCGGATACACAATCATTGGTATTGAATGCGTTGTCAAATTAAGAGAAAGTCTATCAGCTTTGATTACTAATGATTCCTTAATGAACAATCTATATGGGTTTCTGTCATCCGATAGTATTTTGAAATTGATCCAATCAGTCTTATGTCCAGTTTCGGATTCGTGTTTGGCTAAAGCTGATTTGTCTTTTGTATCGTTTCCACCTTCGTCCGTGCGCTCAATCTTACTATTATCAGCAGTGTGTGCTTTAGCTAGTAGTCTAGAAGATCGTCTAACTTCAGGTGTGAGTGGTTAAGTTTGAAGACGTTTCGTGCGTCGTTTAGAGTGATTATGACGGACTCTATCTCGTGATTCTGAACTGTCTCCTTTTATCATACTATCTAGTGGATATACGTCGCACTTATCAAACTCTTCTTTTGAAGCTCCATGTTCGCATAATCTTCTAGTGCTCTGACGTTCAGTTTTTCCAACATAATTATGGATATGGTTACCACATTAAGCAGAGAACATAATTTCTGATTGTAAGTGTCAAACCTTTTTCCAAAAAAAAGATCCAATACCGAAACACTTACAATCAGAAAATATGTTCTCTGCTTAATG